TCTGGGAGGGTGACCTTAAGAGAGAGGGAAACCAAGGTCAGTCCATGGACTTCAGGAGGAGTGTAGCACGGTCAGGTTTGACGTCGTTTTTCGAGTGCCGTCGTGATCGCGGGCGAGGTCGGGACAACGTGGTTCAGGACTCAGCGGGGTAGAGTTCAGGGGCGGCCGAATGGGTGGGAAAGAGACGCGTCGAGTGTTGGGCTGGAATGGGAGTGACTTACAATCTCACGCATCTTGATGTTGGGAAGGCTGAGGAAGCTGAACGACGATAGGCAAGGCTGGGAAGAGCTTGGAAGCAGAGGACAGCTTCAGGAAGACGCGGGTGGGTGGGACGGTGAGGGAGGTTAGGGAGGGAAGTGGTGTTGATTTTCGGGGTCGGAAGGTGAAAGTGATTTTGTTCACCGCCATGGGCTGGGTAGGCAGAGGAAGGGGCAAACAGGGGGGGGGGGTGCTGCAGTGCTGCGTTGGTCTCGCTTGTTTACCTGGGAGGGACTGTGCGCGCGACTGCCCAAAATGGCATGGTCAGGCCCAACAGCAGCGAATGCCAGTTCCGGGAGAGGCGTGATTGGCGCCCACCCCATGATGGCCCCCGCATTGAGAGCTTCAAGCGCCGAAGGGGGGGTCTCCATCAACTTCATTTGCTGCCCGAGAACATTGGCCTGAGGATCACGACGGTCAAGACGTCCAATATTTGACAGCATCACAACCGAAAGCACCAGTGGCAACCGATTGGGATATGAGTAGCACGTCAGGCCGGCGGTGAGGAAAATAAACATCAAGATTGCAAAAGATGACTTCTGAGGTCTTATCGGACTCGAGTGAGAAGAGTGGGCGTATCGTGTATGAACGGGGTTCGAGCATCTCATTCATATGTCTTAGTCAGACCTCATCTCCATCCGCCTGATGATCTACCTGCAACTACCCTTAATGGGCCTTGACGACACCAGCAGCGTCCGCCTGTGCAGCGATACGCTTCTTGTACGCCTGAACGTCTCCCGGGAACTTCTCCACTGTGCCAGCGTCGCAGACCCATAGCGACGTGCACACATTCTGTAGCATCGTCACGTCGTGAGACACCATGAGGACACCGCCCTGGAACTGGTTCAGCGCCTCGGAAAGAGCATCCATAGCCTCAATATCCAAGTGGTTGGAAGGCTCGTCAAGAACCAGGATCTGAGGATTGGTCAAAGCGAGGCATGCGAAAGCGACACGCGACTTTTGACCACCAGACAGCAGACCCATCTTCTGAAGACCCGTAGTACCCTTGATACCAAACGCACCGAGCTGCCGCCGGTATTCCTCGTCCGTCTTGCCAGGGTAGTTAGCGGCCATGAAGCTCACAGCGCTTGTGGTAAGGTCCAGTGCGTCGACGTGATGCTGAGCGAAAAAGCCGACCCGAAGACGAGGATGCTGCGTGATGATACCTGTCGATGGTGACAAGCGACCGATGAGCAGCTTGAGCACCGTTGTCTTACCAGCACCGTTGGGACCAACGATGCCGATACGCGAGTCTAGCTGAACGTCGAGGTCCACGTTGCGAAGCAAGATCTTGTCGGGTGAGTAGCCAAATGTCACACCAGACATTTGGATAATGGGCGGCGACAGCTTCTCGACGTCTGGGAAGATGAATTTGACGCTGTACTCTGCTTCGGGCGGTTCCAGTACGGGCATCTTCTCGAGCTTTTTGATACGGGACTGCGCTTCGGACGACTTGGCGGCATTGTACCGGAATTTGTCGATGAAGGCCTGCAAGTGAGCACGTTGGGCCATTTGGTTCTCGTATTCCCGCTTCGCTGTCTTCTTTCGCTCCTCTCTTGTGGCATAGAATGTGTCGAAGTTGGCACCGCGGTAGTAGTCCAGGCGTTGTGAGTGTTGGTGGATGACGTCTGTCGCAATCTCGTTGAGGAAGGCCCTGTCGTGACTGACAACAAGCACAGTACTCGGGTATCCTTGTAGGTAGTTGGCAAGGAAGGTGATGGACGGAACATCCAACATGTTGGACGGTTCGTCGAGAAGGAGGAGATCAGGCTCGCAGAACAGCGCACGCGCCAGAGCCAGACGCATTCTCCAACCACCCGAGAACGTCTTGGTCGCAAATTGCTGGCGTTCAGCGGAGAAACCAAGACCAGCCAGAATGCTCGCAGCGCGCGGCTCAGCCTTGTCTGATTCCATCTCCGCGAGCTTGGCCTGGATGTCACCAAGCCTTTGGTCCTGAACTTCGCGGTCCCTATCAAGCTTGGCGGCATCAGCAGACGTGTCTGCCATGGAGCCTCGCTGCGATTCGATCTCTGCAAGCCTTTCAGTGATTTCCTGTATCGAGTTAGTCCACTCATCTGTAGTCTCTGGGCACATTGGCTTACCGACTGCTCCTTGAGCAAGACTTTACGCCACACGTCAGCGTCAAGCACGGCCTGCAGCGCAGGTGTGTCGTCTCCCGTGATCTAAATACACGTTAACAGAGACTCAAAGTCGCTGATGGCTTTCAGCTTACCTCCTGCTCGACGTGAAGAATCGAGATATGAGGGGGAATGGGAAGCTCTCGCCGCGCCAAAGCGCGTAGCAATGTCGATTTACCAACACCGTTGTTACCAACCAAACCATAACGGTGCCCATACGCCAGGGTGAAGTTGGTATCGGTAAGAATACGGAGTCCGCCAATAGAGACGTCGATGTTGTCCAGCTTGATGTCCTTGGTCTTGCCCGCGCCTGCCGAAGCTCCGAGCTGCAAGGGGTTGACAGCCATGTAGAACTCTTCGTAAGACTGGGTGGACTCTGGCTGCTCGAGAAGCTTCGAAGCTTCGTACTCGACAGTCTTGAATGTCTTCTTCTGCTGCTTGGCAGCAATTTTGCGCTCCGCCTTTTCCAGCTTCTTCCTGTCGACCTTAGACTCAACCTTACGTACGTTGGCGGATTCCAGATCAACAGCTCCCGTCGACACAGCCAGTGTCGACGACATGTTCCTCGCGGACCCGACATGAACAGTCTGGTCGAGACGCTTCACAGCGGAGGGTCCTCTTCGTTCAGAGCCATTGGCAGAGCTGTAGGTGTTTACCCACTTCTCCACCAACTGCTCAATCTTCTGATGAAGTTTAGCATCTGGGTTCCCGGAGGCGGAGATGAGCAGCTGGGTGATTGCAAACGCAGCCTCGGAGAGTGGAGAGTCGGTGGCGTCCTCGTCGGCGTAAGCGGTTGAGGCATGAGACAGATAACCCACAGAGTACTCGGAAAGCACAGGGTCGATATTGGGGAGGACGTTTCTGATTTCGGCCTCCATTTTGATGACGATGTTTCGATCTCACAAAGAGTTTTGGGATAGAACCACTTGTGTTCTTTTGTGAACGGGCTGCGAAGGAGAAGACTGTGAAAGTCTTGCCTAACAAATCCCAATATCTTGTTCGATGAAGGCTCAAACACAACACCCAGCAACCATTTTCCTTCCACAACGAATCGAACCGTGAAGTTGACTGTGAGATAAGCGATAAGCGGCTGAATATCGGGTGAGGTGGGGCATGAGCGCGGGGTTGAAGGATGATCACGTGTCATCAACCACGGAATCAGTTCAGTGATAGATGCCCTGAAACATACAATTGAAGAGAGACTACATGGGCACAAATATTCTCATGTAGAGTGGACGTCACTCACGCCTACCCCATCATGATTTCTAGAAGGACTGTGAACACGTGCGAGCGGCATGCTCTTAGGGTGCAATCACAGCAGCCTGGATGGACCCTAAGGCTGGTGCTCAGGGGCAAGTCATCCTAGCATCATCACGCCAAAATTGAGTCGAACAATGGGGTTTCGTGTTTTGACTGTATTGTGCGACAACGAGATGTGCCTGGTGCTACAGCTCAGCACCCCTGCAGCTTGTCATCTGGTGACCGGCGGGTGCTCAAGTTCAAGCAAGCAAGTCAGATCCGTAGGAAACACGCATCCCTCAACAATAAACCAAGGCAGGCGGAAGACTGCAAGATGACGGTCCCGAAGATGGCAAAGGATTGGCTCAAGGTCCCAGGCAAGTTATACGGCCACCGGGCGTCAGCAGCAAAAGGGTGTTCCGATGCAGATAAAGCTCGTCAACAACACCCCGTTCCAATGAGGGGATGGCGATCAGCTCTACCTGAAGCGGGACCCCACTCAAGCTGAGGATTGTCAGCCAATCCTACTGTCGCCCCGTATCAATAAAAGTTATTGCGAAATGGTGGGACGCCAACATTGTGAGCTGAGCCGCAAGGCGGGCAACCCCGGCCACGGTCAGATGGGCCCCTCTATCTCCATCTGACGTGATTGAGTACTCCTTTGCGATGTGCCGTCCATCTTATGCTCCAGACATAATTACATGACCAAAACCAGATGCTGATTAGCCCGTACATCGGTTACTGTTTTGGATCGGTCCAAGATTAGCGAACGCGTCAGGTTCGCGTGCCGATGGCCTGCTTTCGACACACGACCGCGTCCCAGCACGCTAGAAACACGCGATTTACAGGGGTTCGATGTCGTGCGCCGGCCAATCGCTCGCAGGCGACATGCCAACTCGACGACCTTAAGATGAGTAAAACTTCGGGTAAGCAGCGAAAAGGCCCATTGTCAAGGTCTCCTTGCATGCTGACCCGTCAGCGTCAATTTTCCATCCGCACCGACCACAAAAAAAAATCTGCGTTGACGCTGCCTGCAGCTGGAGAGGAAAGTCCCAGCCGCGGGCTTGCGCTTGAAATGAGTTTGTTGATTTATTGTCAAGAGTTTCCTACCTTTACGCCTGGTGTTCTCCCCTGCTTGCTACGCTGGCTATTGTTGAGCCACAAACACAACGTGAAACAAACCGTGGAGAGTCGGTGTGTATGCGTTGACAGGCTGGCACGGCAACGAACTCTCCATTCTAACCCCAGAGAATGATGCAAAGCCGTGGATGCATTCGGGGATGCATCCGACTGTTGCTTCTTCCATGCACAAGCGCGTATTCAGCAGCAGGCGGAGGCCCATCGTTAGGACAAACACGAAAAGTTGGACGCAAAACATGTAAGAGACGTCCTGCAGGAGCTCCTCGTTCCTCACTTCCTAGGTTGTCTGCTGTCTGCTGCAGCTGCCGATGTCCCGGAAGCTCCAAGGAAAGCCCATAGCAGCATCGGCATTGCCGAGCTTGGCTCCTCTCACTTCTGGCTTGCTAGTCGAGAGCCACCGCCGGAGAGAGTGTGAGAGCCACAAAGCAACCGATGGGAATTGAGGTGATTTCTCCCCACCCTCCACTCCAGCTTGACACCAGCGCCCGAGGATCATGCTGCGGCGTTGCGCGGAGCCAGGTTTGGGGGCCTAGGTTAGCAGCTCCAACGTCACCAACACGTCGTAGCGCATGGCTAGAGGCGACGCTAGACGAAGCAGAGCCCTCACAGTGGGAAGCCCAGCCATCGACCCCTCTGTTCATCGCCCGACGATGAAACCGGGAAAATGACCAAGCAGGTAGATAGGCATTGGGGATCACGAGGGATCAAAGGCAGTCCAGAAAGAAACCCGAATTTAGCCCGCTGCGACCTAGACGCGACAGAGCAGGCGGAGCGGCAAGCAGCAGTAAGACGGTGCATGTCAATCTCTTGTCAAGCACAGCATGCCGCAGGGCTCATGAATATGGATGTGTGGAAGACAAGCGTCCTCCTGCGGTATCACCATATTGTTCGCCTATGCGAAGCCACGCCTAGAGTCAAGCTGAAGCCAAGCATGGTTCAACAATGCGCGCTACGAGGCAGGTACCAGATACTGTCTGATTGCCCAAGACTGGCTATTTGACTTGGCCTTTGTCATTTAAAGTTCTCCAGATCTTGCCCTAGCCAACACCGAGGGGCAATCCGAGAGGGCGCCGACAAGGAGGAGTGGCGGAAACATGGCAGGACAGTACAATAGTAGTGGGGACCTTTCGTCGGCGCCCGGCTACACACTTGCACTCAACCACCAGTCATTCAACAGCTGAATTTTTGTTGAATTTTTGTTGACTGCTTGTTACCAACTGGTAAATGGACCACGCCGGCTCGAAGTCGAGGAGGGGTCGATGGAACCAGACGGACCATTGTCGCATGTCGCCGGGCCGGATGGAACACCAATATAACAAGGCGACATGTAAGGACTCGGTCAAGGTCGCAGTCTGGGTATATCGTTGTTGATATTCGTTTCGATGCAAGGAAGCCAACAACCGATGTGCATTTCGGGTCTGCGCCATGTACAAGGTACACGGTACGCGGGGCGTGCCTGCTTGTAGCGCACTGGTGGACCGGGAAATGCAAGGAATGGCCCTCTGATCCCGCAGCAGTGTGCCTGTCGGACAAAGTCAGGTTTAAGCCCCATGTTCCGCGCGTCAGAGAAACAAGAGGGTCCCTGTCTCTTCTTTACATGGCTGACGAAGAGGACTTGGGGGAGCCCTTTCACAACCGACTGGCCCGGATTATGCTTGATGAGGGTGACACGAACGAGACAAACTCGCCAGCGCAGCGAAGCTGTGCCGTAGTCTCAGAAAGTGAGCAGCTATTCGACCAAGTTGCCATGCTGTGCAAGCACCCCAGCACGTCCATCCTGGGGAAGGCACTCTGGCTGGCCTCTTCTAGCCGGGGGCCTTTTGCTATGGTAATAAGCTGAAAGGGGAAAACGTCGGCCAACTTCATCCTTGAGTCCTTGGGTACAAGGCATCCAGTCATCTCGCCTTGGCCCGCCTTCAGAGCATGGCCCCTCCACCCCCCTGGTCTCCCCCCATTCTTCACAGGCTACCCCCTGCTGGCGGGCTGGACTTGGACCGAAGGACTGCCTCCCCAGGCCCAGGGTCGGGGCCTTGCTTGCCTGTCGTGTCCAGTGGACGAAAAGCCGGTCCAGTGAGATGATAGGTCTCAGCCGACGGCGCTAGGATTCTTAGATCGATGCCCATCTCGGCTTGTTTTGGGAGGAGGAGAAACAAAAGCAACAAGAGGGCGCGCAGACCACCGAGACCAGAGCCGACATGGTCGTAGCGTGGGCCCTGGTCCGACCTGAAGCGTTGGCGTCGATGTCGGAAGAGCAATGTCAACAACGTCAAAGAACCATCGAGACGTGGTCGGGTGTCCGGATCGAGGCATGCAGAAGGGGCTTGGGGAGATGCAGGTGACGGGAGCGGTGGAGGTGGAGGCGGAGGAGGGAAACCATCGATGGATGGCAGCATGCTGGCTTTGTACTGAGGCTGACAGTCCTTTGTCGTAGTGAGCGAGTGGCCTCCCCCGGCGAAGTGCGTGCTGCCTGCTTGCTGCTGTTTACATTGGCCTATCTGGGTAGGCGCCGTCAGGCAGGCTGGCGCTGGGTGACAAGTCAAGGCACGGCATGCTGCACTAGGTAATGTACAAGGCAAGGCACATGATGCTGTACAGGTCAGTACAAGTAAATCGTACATGGGGGTGCATCTCATATGCAGCTGCTTGTAATACATACGTGGAAAATTGGCTTGGCTCGCAGTCGAGTAGAGAGGTGCAAATGCATTTCCCAGCAGGCACAACAATAATACCCGCCGATGGTGGAAGGAAGGATTTACAGGGAAAGCTAGCGCCCCCACTGCCTTGGCTTGCGGCTTGCGGCTTGCGGCTTGCGTGCGGCCTGCGCCAGGCAGAGCAATGGAAAGCGGGCAGATGGACCAGGTCCAGAGACACCACATGTCGCCCAGCTGCCCTGTGCACACCCGTCTTGGAGCGGCGCCTGCCCCCCAAGGCCCCCCTCCCCATCTGCTCCCCGCTCCAGCGAGTCAACCTGCTCGCCCGCGCTCGCCTAAGCGTGATCCCTACAGCGCTCATCTCCAGCGCTCCAGCGCCTGCCGTCATTCGTATCCACTGTCCAATTACATGCTGCTTGCACCTTGCTCTGGCGTAGGTACCTTGGGTACCCGAGTGAGGTACTTGCTCTACCCATCCGGTACCTACATTCTCCTGCTGCCCTGAGCATGACGGCCCTGGCTGCCCGTTCCCTCCCTGGCACCGAGCACGAACAGGCTTACAGGCTTGTAAAGCGCACCAGCCAACAGAGCAGACAACGACAACAGTGATGGAACGCCCTCCCCCCCAAGTCTGGCCCATTGCACCCGTACCTTAGGTATCTCTGTCTCCCGTTCCCCGTCTCACCTCGGCCAGCTCGTCTCGTCTCCCTCCCCTACCGACTGCTGGGTATCTTGCCTTCCCATACCTTCCATACCACAAACACACGCGCTTGCACCCATGCAGGCAGGACTGACTGGAGCGTCGGACGACTGAATCTCCCCAGTTTCTGCTAACCTCCACCCTGCGAACGACCTTCTTCCCACGCTCTTCTCTTTCTTGGGCTCTCGAGTAGTCAAGTCAACTCTCACTCCGCAAACCCATCCCTCCTCCACCCTCTCTCCCTCTTCCTCTCTCCTCCCACCCAAACGGATGGTGGTGGCGTTTTTGGCCTGTCCTCTCGTTCATTGATTGGGCTCTGTAGGCATTGGCTTGCCTCGCTGTCGGTGTCACTGTAGGGTTGTTTTGTTTTCCTTACAGTACCGATTTCTCTCGACACCTCCAATACCCCCCCGTCGAAACCACCCAAAGGACAAAGGAGACTGTCTTTTCTTGCAGCTCGAAACCATTGAGACCAACCAGCCTGTCTCTCGCATACCTGGTACGACCGAACACGACGACGAACGACACGGGATACGCTTTCTACTCTTTCTCTCCAGCAACCTCATGCCTTGATCATGCTTCGTTCGTCTCTCAACAACAAAGACACACGCTTCGTCCGCATGCTTTCTCCCACTGGCTCCGTTGCCTGAGTCGTTCCGCTCAGCAAATATGCAGACGGTTCCAAGCGTACGTCGAGGATGTTCCCCTTGCACCATCTGCCTGGTTCGATTGAGCATGCCAGCTAACCCATCACTTGACAACAGCTCGTTGGATCCGGTGCTGCGCTTGCTGCAGCTGCCTTGGGCCTGGCATTTGCTGAGCCAGAGCCCCAACCAAGTCCTCCTCCGACCTCGACCTTCAACAGAAAACGGGCGTACACCAACTACGATGGCGCTTCCTACAACCCTCGCCTGAGCAGCGCACCTGCTTCCTCTCGCCCAGGGACCAGCTCTGCAAGCCTGAACCCTCCCGCCGAGGTGTTTCACCCCAGCTCTCTCCCTGATGCTTCCTTCTCACCCACGACTGCAAACACCCCCCGCCCTCAGCGTCCCACGAGCAGCACCCAACTTACGCCGCCCAAAGTCAGTAGCCGGAGGCAATCGTTCGTTCGCCAGGCCGACGGCACCGTGGCCCCCACGGCCGAGGACTCGCGTGACTCGGTATCATCCAATGGCTCCTGGATGAGACGCCTGTCGTTGCGACCGCTTTCACAACACGGTAGTCTTCGGTCCAGCGCTGGCCCTGAAACGCACTCCATTGCCTTCTCCCATGGATCCTCGGCCCCAATTCTGTCGCCATCAGGCACATATCAGACCCCCCTGCCTCCAAACAAGTTAGTGAAGCGCGCTCCTTCTGCTCATCAGAACGGAGCGGCGATGCGGCGTCGCGCCAAGTCGCACCTCCCGTCCCTCCGCCGCCCCGCCACTAGCCATCAGCGATCGGCAACTTTGCAGCGAAACCAGCTCGACTACGACTCGACCGAGGGCTTGGGAGGCCCAGCAATATTCACTCGATCGTTACATGCCAGCGCAAGATGTTTTGTCTCTGTCGCCGGTCGAGCCCTACCACCCTCCCAGAACTGCTGAACCCTCGCGCTGGACCTCACTGTTTCATTCGCGAACCATTAACGTGCCTGTCAGTAGGACGCCGGACCGTTTACTCGAACGCGGAGGGGCGCCTCTGTCGAAACGACTACGTGTCTTTGTTGAGGATAAGAAATATATCTATCTCGTCCGAGCTAGCGTGGTCAGCACTACGTCTGGCGCAGGGGACGCATTGTACTCTGTCGATGAGTCTTCATCGCCCAATCAGGAAATCCAGGATACGGGAAGCTCTGGTGGGACTCCTGACGACACACCAACAAAACGCGCAAGACGTTCGTTGTCGACGCATTTCTCGTCCCCGACCAATCTCTTCTCGAGAACGGGAAGCTTGCGGCGATCGAAACGTGGAGCGGAGCCGAGAGATGGGACTAGGCGTCATGTCTCTGCACCGATTTCTTCCTTGCAGAAAGCAAATCAGGACAGCCTCGCTAGCCCTGCAAGTCTTGCAGGAGACGCATTGACACTGCATAATCGGCAACAACGCACTAATCCTGAGCAATCCACATCCGCCTTGCACATGGCGCGCCAGCGAAATTCATCCTCCCCGCTTCCCCCATTGTCTCGCCTCTCGAGTTTCAACGTCGACCTCACAAGGCTAGGGTCGTCAGCGACTGTGCCACAGCCCCGGTCAAATCAGCCATCCGGCAGCTCACAGAGCTCGGCAGCCATGGCCTCTTACAGGAATGCGAGGCACGAACGAAGCTCCACGCTGAACAGCTCTGACTACGAGGTGCGGGGCTTTAATTCCGGCGATGATGAAGACACAGATTTTAGGAGCGACACCATGTTTGACTCGATACGAACGTTGGCATCGGTACGCAACCGAGCCGTCGAGAGCCCACTCGAGTCCATGTTCGACGAGTCGCCCCCCAGCACCGCAGGCAATGGGAAGACGAAGCGGCTGTCCATCCAAGAGATACTCGGGCGTGGCTGGGATGCTGACGAGATGATTATGGAAGAGGACGAAAACATGTCAACGCCCGTCCGGGCTAGCCACGACCGCAAGAACCTCGCAGGCATCGCATCCGCGCCGACCGGATACAGCTACGAGCGCCCCTCGAACGACTACTCTCTGTCCAACAAAGAGCTAGCACGACTCTCTCTAGAAGACGATTTTGAAGACGATTGGGCCAGGGACGACGACGAAATGGGGTTCGGCAACCAATTATCACCACCCAGCTCGATGAACTCGAGAGGTGTCAGCCCTAACCTGCGACTAGCATTAGCCAGTATCAGCGGCAAAGACGTCGCAGATGTGGCGCAAGACTTGCGCGGCGAGAGGCCTCGCAGCAACCTCTTTGACTGGACGGAGACGAACCCGGGCGAGCATGGTGCAGAGGGCCAGCTCCGCCCCAAGACAGTTCACGGCCGCCAAGAGATGGACATGAGAGGTGGTCGTCCTTCCAACCGCAAGGGACCTGTCGTTGCGCACGTCAGGAGCCAAAGTGTCCCCGTTGCATACGATCCAACGGACAATGCCAAAGCTGCGACGCAGAAATTCGGCACATGGGGACTCGGCACCAAGGGTGCCAGCGAAGATTGGGACGACGATTTCGAGTTTGGCGGCAGTGATGAGGGCGGAGGTTTCCACTCTATTGGGGATCTATCCATGATGGTCCCAGCGTCGATTCAAGCATCGCAACCCAGCCTGAAGCAACACTCTGGTCAAATTAGGGAACTTTCCCTCCTCGTCAATGATCTCAAGCGCCTCTGTCGACATGGCCGTGATCTCGATCTACTCGACGGCACCCATGCGGCGCTGTGGCACGAGGCAGAAGGCATAATTTCCCTGGCCTCACCCGACGAGGATGAGTTGGAAGGCATGGACGTTGATTCTTCGGATCTGGATTTCGAGCCTTACAGCGTCAACGAGCGTTTGGCAGACAGCAACGATATGGACACGGAGACTGCAAAGAAGCCAGAGGATTCCTTCGAGGCACACGACCTCCACCTAGCCAAGACGACTGTCATCCGGGAACGCCCTGCAGGACGAAGGCGATCGGTCTTCAGCCCTGACGATGACATATTCGGAGGCAATGGATCAATTACTGATGCCAGCGCCGCATCCTCCCGACCGAAGACGCCTGAGAACAACATAAACATGGGGGGCCACGACGTTACCGACATTGTCAAGTCGGTGCTGGACGCCATGCAGCAACGGTCTACGTCGGACTCGTCTCACAACTCCGCGAGGGCTTCGGAAGACAAGGTTCACTTTGGCACAAACAATCTGAAGGCATTGGTCAAGCGGGCAGGAGATTTGCGAGACTTGCTCTCCGAGGCTGTCCGCCGTGTTGACCAGATCACCTCCAGTCCCATGAGGACCCCTCGTCGTCATGAGCGCGAAAGCCCTGCCTTTACCCGTGTCTTTACACCTGAACCACCATCATCCAGTCCGCCCAAGCGTCTACCCCATAGCCAAAGTACGAATTCGGTACTGAGCCGCGGCTCTCACGAGGCCTCGCCATCGACTGGTCTCAACCAACGAATGCAGATGATGACTGTCAGTTGAGAGGGAGCACACAACTAGTTTCCGGTCACTACGGGTCTAGAAACATGGCGTCTCCCTTATCTGATGTAACTGTACGACACTTCTCTTTTCCCTTGCCTGCATAGCGACGGTCAGGATTTTCTTCTCTTTTTTTCTCTTTGTTTTTTTATTCATACGACATGCACATAAAAGACGGCTTGGCCATGGCCTGCGTCATACGAGTCAACGCAACGAAGGGGTGAGGCGTGGGCAAAATAGGCTGGCAACGAAAGCACGCGCTACGTAATGCTCGGCCAGCCCACCCTGCCAGGGCAGCTTGGATAGCTTGGCTGTCCGTCGGCGATCATGAGAGATTTAATTATAGGACGGATACAAGGGTTCGACCCGCTATGAGCCACGTGCCGAGGGGTGGATGAATGGCTTGGAGGTCGGGATACGAGGATACGGTGGTGGAAGGGGGGCAGGCGGGACTCCCAGGGGAATCGGAAGAGAAAACTCCCAGTAAAAGGACCTGGGCATGACCTCGAGGATGACGACTGCACAGCATTCAAGATGCATTCGGAATTATGGGATTTGGGACAAAACTCGCATACAAACGGCGGCACGCAAGGCATTAAAGCAATGACGAGAAAGAGTAAATCAGATCAATCATGCGCCTGTATTCACACGTCTTTTGCCAGACCCTCCCAATTCGCAGTCTTGGTGTGTCGTGTGCGACTGGCCCTGTGCGTTACGCCCTGTTGAGAGGCGAACTTTTTATACTGGTGCTTGTGTGTCCGCTGTAATGAGACTGAGCGTCTGTCGCAGACGCTGAAGCCGCAATCCCTCGAGGAGCAGATCAACAGATTCTTGCTGGCGTTCACCCTCATCATGTAAATTTTCAAGCCATTGAGTGAAGTCCTCAATGGCCGGTGGGGTTCACATATTAGCAAGCTAGTCAATCCCTTCTTTTCGGCAGGTCCCTGCTTCAAGAGCACAGTAGTTGGCACGATATATCTTTGATATTGACTATATAGTGCAACAGCGTATGTGTATTCTGGGAAGTTATTGTACATGAGTGCGATGTGTGAGAAGGCGGGGAAACTTAAAAAGAAAAAGGGACAAGAGAGTGAGCGGCAGGTGCCGAGCCTGCTTGTTTACTCTTGCAACAACGAGGGTATTGATTGGAGCAACTATAGAGAGAGAAAAGAAATAGGAAAGGAAACATGTCGCTGGGACAGTGAGTAACATGGGAAAATCACTCCCGAAGGCAGAAAAGCTCGATCAGAAGGTGTGATATCTTCTTCAGAGGCGGAGCCAATCCCGACCTTGGCCGCGGAGGTGGACACTTTCGGGCCGAGACGCATCCTCAGCAGTCCAGAGGCTGTGGCCAGAGAAATTCACGAGGCCGACAGTTGCTGGATCAGCGCCGGCTTCGATGGCGGCAATCTGGTAACGGATCTCGGCTCTGCGGCTTTTAGGGATGAAGGCGCGGACGCGTTTCCGACGCAAACGCTGAGTCTCGATGTCGCCCAGTCTGTTCTCGATGGAAGGTGGCATGCCGAGCTTCTGGTTCATGGGCATGGCTTGGGTCCACAAGAAACCTTGTATATCAGCCTTCTTCGAAGGCTGGAGCCAGAGGGATATTGTTGGTAGAAGCGGTTCTGACTGAACCGATCCCTCTACCCCTCCACTCTGAGTCATCCCAGCTGTTTGTGTACCAGATGACAAGGCCTCCGCGAGAGCCAGGTCCCATTCTGCAGCGGTGGCCTCCGGGCAGCGAGGGCGGCTTGCGTTGATGGTCTGACCATGGGAATCGTCTCCATGTGCTGGTGTTGTGGCTGCCTGAGGTCGCTGGTGTTGGCGTGTCTGTCCAGCAACGACAGCGAAGAGGAGCTCAGTGTCCCAGTCGGCGCTCGTGGTCTTGGTACTTCGGCGTAAGCGAGTCTTTGAAGGCTCAACTTGGTCGGAGACTCCAGCGAGCGTCATTATCTTGATATCCGGGGAGACCTCAAGCATACCCTGCGTATATGCACTCGATTCAGGCGCGGTCGGTTGCTCAGGCTCTTGGTGATCGGGGAAGCGGTCTTTCGGCAGACTGATACTGCTGATGACGCTGGAGTCCATGGATGAGGATAGCCCAGTCGAGTCCGTGGGTGACGCGGATTCAGAGGCAATGCTCTTGCGGTATGATGGAGAGTCCTGGCCCCGAGGCTCATTGCCAGCAAAGGACAACCAGTTGTGTTCGTCAGACGCGTCGCTTTCCTGCTTCCAAAGCGTCGAGGAGTTCAATTTCGCAAGAGGCTCTTCGTTGACACGGGCTTTGCGAGGTGTTTCCCGAGCAGCGGGCGCAGCTGAGGTTGTGCGAAAGCCGGTTCGGAGCTGGCCAGACTGATAGAGTCCAATGGGGTTGTGGCTAGCATTCGCAGTTGGAGCGACCCAGAGGAAGGCAGCAGCAGCAGGACTGATGCCTTTCTGGACGTTAGAGGCAGAAGTAATCCAGAAGGTATCAGCATGTTTGGCTTTAGCTAGACGGTCTTGGCTCCAGAGGAGGGTAGAAGGTGGAATCTCCGGCACGGCTTCGACGACCTGGCGTGGCTTGCGGACTAGTTCCAGAGCTGCGGGTGATGCAGACGTTGTTCGGAAGTCTTGACGGAAAGCGCTCGCGTCAAAGAGGCCCCCAACGGCCTTCTCAGCAGGCTGCGAAGGCGCCACCCACAGCGAACGGCTGGTCGTCGCTCTGGGGTACACGTTTTCGACAGCCTCAATGATGGAAGACTGGCCGGCACTTACGTCCTCAAGCTTAGCTTTGTCGACGGCTTGTGGCATAGAAGCGGCGAGAAGCCATATCTGTTCAGGTTCCGTCTCAAGAGGCGCCGTCCAAAGACTCGAAGAAGTCAGGAGCTCGACCGGACGCTCCTCAGCAGAGCGTGGCTTCCGAAAAAGCCCCTGTGCGGCAGGCTCTGCCGTTGTTGTACGGTACTCTGAGCGGACATGGCTTGGGCTATACAGACCATGTGATTCTTCGGTCATCACCGTACCCTTTGCAGTCCACAATGGCTCTGTCGGGGAATTGGCTGATTTTCCACTAGGTGCAGAAGCGAGCTTTGGAGCAGCCCACAACATTAATGCTGGGGCCTTGACAGGAGAGCTTGGTGAGGACCATAGATCCGTGCTTTGGATCACTGCGGCTTCGACCTTCTTGGGCTTGTTGCGCAGAAGAGGTTCCGCCGTTGGCAGGTAACGATCCCATGTTGTATCGTCCACCTCCGGCAGCCCCAGTCCTTGGGAGACAGTAGTTTCTTCTAACGTCTCGGTCCAGAGACCTATGGCCCGAGGTAGAGAAGGCGACTCTTCGCTATCAAGTGCGATCGAGATTGAGTCGTAGCCAACGTTGGGGTCAAACTGGTTATCGAAGGGACGCTTGTCAATATCTTCTTCGAACCCGAGCGGCTCGAAGAAGAATTCCTCAATTGTGGGTTGAGGCTCTGGGTGTGGCTGTGGCAGGAGGCTGTTCTTCGATGGGACCTGATCCGATTTGAGGAGGCTGGCAATCTCCCAGAGGGTGCTTTCGTCAAAGTCCACATCGTCGTCGTTGTCGTCGTCGCTCCCCTCTTGGTTGTAATCACTGCCATCCTCATCATACTCGGGCACCGCCTCTTCCACGTCCTCGTCGTCCTCTTGATAGTCGTAATCATCGTCACTGGAGGAAACCATGTCATCCTCCTCGTCATAATCGTCGAAGAAAGAAGCAGAGTACTCCTCAGCCTCCAGTTGCTTCGCACGTGCCTCTAGAACAGCTTGAATGGCAGGTCCTCCGCTTGACATGGTCCCTGGCATGGCCATGAACATGGTGGGCCGCATTTGGATGGTAGCGGTATCGGATTGCTCACCCCAAGGGAACTGGAAAATACCGAGAGTGCCACGCCTGTTGGGTATCTCTTTGGGACTTTCTATAATGTCCGGCAGAAGGGTGACATGTTTGTTCTTTCTGGGCGGACGCTGCGTGACCGGCCGGGATTTGACTTGTTGGGCGGCGGGAACGGGGAGAGGGGATCCTCGCCAGAGGCCGACCGTTACCGAGTGTGGCTTCGCGGCGAAAGAGTTGCGACGGTTCCACAAGCGAGTGCTCTCGATCTCTAGGGTGCCCGTGGTCTTGCGGACAGCAGGACGGACAGAAAGCCCAGGAAGGTCCTCCGGGGCGACAGGTGCCCTGACCCGTTCGTGCGCAACCCACAAGTGGTTGTTGATAGACGCAGGGGCTTCAGGCGGTGCAGGCTTCCACAGCTTCGCACAAGGTGCGTTTTTTCTTGACAGTACCGCTTTGGCACGGCTGTGGAAGTCACGCCCTTCATCTTCAGACTCATCAGTGTCCGGTGGGGTAGGGCTACCGAGATGACCCTTCGGCATAGACACCGACAGGAAGTTGAGAAACGGCTTCGTTGTGGTGAGATCGGCAGCATTATCTGCATACTCGAACTCGGCATCCGCAAGTTTCTGCTGCCATCGGCTTTGCGGACGACTCTCTCCAGCAGTTGAAGAGGTTGTGTCGCTAACACTGTCTCTGGAAGGTCTTACTGAGCTCTGGAGGCGAGCACGTCTAGAGGCACGTCGATCTGCCGCAATCGAGGATGACTGTGAGTGTCTAGACTGGGTTCCCCCGCTGACCTTCTCAACCTCGGATTGTCGACTTAACCTAGTTTCAGCGGTCGAAACGGAATCCCTGCTAAACCCATTCTGCATATCGTGCCACTGAGACTCCTGCTGACCCATCTCCTGTTCCAGTCTTTCGAGTAGACGGAGCCTCTCACTTTCGTCTTGCATCGGGTCCCTATCCATCTCCTCAAGTTGTTTCAGCTGTTGCTGAATGACTTTGTAGGCCTCTTGCGGAGAATCTAGTGGAGATGGTTCAGCAGCTACTATGACCGAATTCTTGCTGGTAGAGTTCAGAAGCAGTGGTGTTGGTGGAGGCATTCTCCGCGACACCACCCTCTCCTTTCTGGTGGAAAAAGTGGTACATTGCTCGCCCAAACGATGATGCCACTGGTGGTTTGAGTCATTCGAGCTATCCGGGTGCTGTTGGTCATCGAACCACGAGACTGTAGCCATGCTCATGTCATGCTCCATCGATGAATCGAGCATAATCGTCATGACCTCTTTACCGTCGTTCTGGTCAAGCATGGAGACGTTTCGCGGTTCATGCCCAGAGTCAGGGTTCTGGATATAGGTCGATACGGGAACTTGTCTAGCCTGCTTGATGTTGACAGCCGCAACGGGCGAGTGGATGGAACCCCAGTTTGTCGTCATCTCCTCGTCGCGGGTTCGGGCATCACTGATCACTGACATTCTGGTGCCAGTGACCGGAATCACGGGGGATGACCGACGTCTTGCTCCATCATGCGACACCTCGGACAGCGACCTCTCCGGCATGATAGGAATCCAGGAGTCATGGACGTCATCTGCCGCTACTCTTTCTGTGGTTGTGTAAGTATCGACGCTGAACTTCGAGGTGTAGCGGATGTCAGGCATGTGCACAGGTCCATCCTCAATCTCGAAAATGCTCTGAGTTCGAAGCGATGTCCGCTGCGAGGAAGCGATGGACCTTTTGGAGAGAGTCCGCTGTGCAAGTTCCGCGCCTGATCCTTCGTCGGTGGATTTGACCTTCTCTGTAGCGTAGGCGGCAGGTAGGGGGGGCAATTCAGGTATCGAACCCCTCAAACCATTGACAGTAGCGTTAGCACTTTTGGGCGCTCCAGGGAAGAAAAGTTCCATCTTCTCGTCAAAGGTCATGCTTCTTGTGTCATTTGGCAGTGGTCGCAAAGGCTGTCCTGCACTCTTGGGTAAGGGCGGTAGGGCGGGCAACTGGGTCGGGCTACCGGGTGTCGACCGTAGGATGGACTTTCGACTGGCAATGGAGCCCCCAGACCTGTTTCTTACATGTCCCCTCGGCGATGGTTCTGACGGGAAAAGCTGACGGTCGCTCTCCTGTTGTCTGGGTATAGGCCGCGGCCTGTGAACGACTGAATCTCTTCCCTTGACCAGGTCAAGTGAGGGGTCGTCGGGCCTGACGTTGGCGGTGACGAGCAGCTTACCAGCAGCTCCGTCGATGATGCTTTGTACCGCAGCGGGATTATTGTATTGAATCTGGTTCATGAACAGAACGGTTGGTTGGGATTCGCCGTCCTGAACGGCAGTTTTCACGCCTTGGGCTCGAGGGTTTGAGGGAAGACCGACGGTTCCACGTCTCTGAAGTGGAGGAAGAGGCTGGGACGTTTCTGGAGAGGAGCTTGTGTCGTTCTGAACTTGCTGTGGTGAGGATCCCGGAAGATTTCGAGCCGCCATAGCCTGCATTCTCGACGGCCTGATGGTATCTCGTACCGAGGTCTGCTTCGGCCATGTGGAGGGCAGCTCCGGTCGAGGTGGAGAGCCCGTTTGTTTGCCAGATGATGGCGATGCAAATGATGTTTGAGAAGGCGAGTCGCTCGGGACAGCTGTCTGTTGGCTTGACGAACTTTCCAGAGATCTCCGAGGGGGCAGCTGTTTCTCCTCCAGGATTCTTTGTTGCACTTGGGCAGCCTGGAGTGACGCGCCACGCGACGACTGATCTTCCTCTGCAGCCACAGAAAGTTCGTTGGGCGACTGTCGCGGAGACCTTCGACGGAGCGAATCGATACCTGGCGAAGTTTGGCTGGATGTGACGGTGGCGCTAGGCAGTAGTCTATCTGGCTCGTCAGACGACCTGGGCTCAGTGCTGTCCTGCGATGTCCGGCCTATCTCCTTGCGCCTCATCTTGCTCTGAGATCTCCTGATAGCTTCTTCAGCGGTGAGGCCTGGGGGGCGAGGGGCTGCACGCTGCGCGATCAAGGCCGTGGGCTCCTGCAGAGCAGCAAGGTTCCGTCGCTCCTTCTCATTTCTGGCGGCCGTGGCGAGATCGATGGTAGCAATCTTGTTGAAAGGACTGTCCTCGCCTACTTTTTGCAGGATTGGGTGAGAGATGACAAGCTTCCCCGCGGTTATGCCACCGGTGTGAGCATCGCCCCTGGGTCTCTGATACTGTGCTCGGGTGTTTCCTTCAGACGATTTTCTTTCTTGCCAAGCCATGGCGCCGACGGCAGCACCCGCAAAGCCGGCTCCGGCAGCTCCATTACCGGCGTTGAAAGCGCGTGTGGCCGTAATTGAGGTCGTCGTGCCAGTCTTGAGATCTTCATATCGGTTGGGGGGGAAGTTTGACTCTGAAGAAGATATGTCGCGAGATTGTGTGGTAGGATCTTGGAAGTCGTCGGGCAATGAAGCAGAGTTTTGGGGCAAGCCAGATGCATGAGCTTTGGTGAGAACCAGGGGCCCTAGAAAAGCGGCAACGAGAGCTGTCTTGTGTTAGCAGTGATTCATCTCGCGATAAGACATCTGTAGAGCGTTATACCGAGTAGAAGACTGAGGGCTACCGCAGGCAGAGCTGTACGCCAGATGATGTCAATTGTCGGAATGCCGAGAAATAACGGGACACTCGCCCCTGTCCACAAAGCGAGCCCAACAAGGAGCATCAGAACAGCCATGGCGCGCTGGTGGCCGGGACGCTTCTCGCGGTAGTCTCGAACCAGTCCGGTCGTGAAAGCGCGGAGGACGAAAAGGGTGAGAATGACAGCGTCTGTGGCGCCGACAGCAATACCAATGGCGGTCATGTTGTTCGACGGCTGGCAGACGGGCAGCATTTGAGTCCGCTGAAAAGCGACAAAGACGACACCGACAAGCAGGCGAATGACAAGGAGCGCCTGGGGGATGAAGGTGTCGGATGACGGCTTGAGACCACTGTTGATGGCCCATAGTAGGTACTGCTCGAGGGCAAGGCGCGCGATCTGGTCGAAGGAGGAGGCGAAAGTGACGGCGACTTGACATCCCAAAGACGAGGAGGGGTCGATGAGGGTCGCGATAAAGTCGATCTGGGCCCAGAGGGCGGCACCAGCAAGGAATGTGATGAGGACCAGCCTCAGGCCGTCCCGGAATACTTTGGTGCCCTGCCCCTGGATACAAATATAAAGAGCGGCGGAGGCCGAGTTGAAGACGATGCCACTGCGTGTAACACAACGTTAGCTGATCACATTACCGAATCGTCCCCTCATCCTCATCCTCATCCTCATGGTTCTCGTGGCGTTGTTCCTTTTCGGCATGGATGATGAAGTGCATGGCGGCGTTGACTGACAAGGTAAAGGCAGCGCTCAAGGCCTGACTGGTGGCAGGGAACGACATTGTTGAGAAAAGCGCCGGGGCGGCAAACGGAACCGGCCGGTGACGAAGGGAAAAGCCCCAATCAATAGGGAAAGGAAGAAGCGAAGGCTAGTAAAAAAGAAAAGCGACCATGTTGGCGATACCGACGTTACACGATAAGCATGACGGAACGCAACGACGGACGAAGGAAAGTCAGCTCGATCGACACCTTCCGCAACCAGTAGGCAAGATGGACGAGATGGAGGAGTAGAAAGTTTGGCCTGCAAGCGACAGCAACAGGACAGAGAAAGCACAGGGCGGACAGGCGCTTGGTCGAGCCTACAGAGTGTGTCTCTAGGGCTCGCTGGTGGGAGGGACGCAGGGCGAGAATAGAACGAGCACAGCATCGAGCATCGAGCATCAAACGACCCCAGTCTCAAGACAACGTTGAGGCGCAAGAGGACTTGAGAGATGACCAGGCCTTTCATTGGCCATGGTTGGGTTGACAGGGCTCGAGGGCCTCCTAAAGGCGTGGCGCCGAGTGTGGGTGTTTCACCCTTGAAACTGACAGCGTCAGACCTCGTGGGTCATGGGTCGACAGTCGTGGGCTTTTCCCCGTCTCTTTTCGGTTATCAGATGAAATGCAACGGCAAAATAGAGTAAAGCATTGCGATCGATGGATGGTCGACCATGTTGCATTCCGTGATCCGTGTCATGGAGGAGGACTAAAGAAGAAGAAGAAGCTCTGGTCGGACGACGTGCGGCTATATTCGATCCACAACCAGACGATTTGGAAAGCAGCTTCCTTGCCCCTACTTCCTTACCTAGGTACCTAGGTACCTAACCTAAGGTACTACTGATTGGCAGGCAGGCGGGTTGCCAAATTGATCCCCTGCGATTTTCTGCCTGAACAGAAGTACTCTCCCGTGCGACATGCTGACTGATATGCTGCTTATAGGGTGTTTATTTCTGCCACTTCTTTTTTGCAACCCACCTGGCAGTATAACGGGGAAATAGCAAGGGAAGGAGATGCCATTGTGAAACACCCCAAGTCCGAAGCACGTGCTTTGGCACGTCAGCACGCTTTACAGTGTTCAGTAGGGTGCAGTCGTCCTAAAGACACTGTCCGACGGAAGCCATCGGCGTTCGGCACAAAATGCGGGGGCCCCGGAGCCCGGGATGACGAACCCGGGCCGGTCACTCACAGCACAGCACCCTCAGCCCTTGAACTAAATCTGGTCTGCACCCATCCTACACTCTGACCGACCTGCAACCTTTCCCTTCAGATCCCCAGACAAGAGCGCAGTTGTTGTTATCCCGTAACACAATTTCACATCTCGTCATGCCGCGCGCTGAGCTCGAGTACCCCAAACGGCCCCTCGGCACCGTCAATCGGTACAGCCCACGAGGTGAGTCAGCCAGCATGGCACCATCACCAGGAGCAGAAACAACTCACCACTGCACACAGCCTCGTATTCTCTCAGGGTGATCCACGGCATCGTCAACACGTGCCCCACGCTTCATGTCTCCTTCAACTCCCCCGACTCGCCCTTCCCTGCCGTCCTTCCCATGATCGGTCAGATGGGCTCGTTCGACCGTCCCTCCAGCGACGAGGGCGACGTGCTCGACCTCTACCTCCATGGCTACGTCTCCTCCCGCGTGATGAACCTGACCCGCCGTCCCGCGACCGATGACTCACCCCCAGGCATGCCTGTCACCGTCGCCGCCACCCACGTCGACGGCCTCGTCCTCGCGCTGACCCCCAACTCCCACAGCTACAACTACCGCTCCGCCGTCCTCTTCGGCCACGCGACCCTGGTCGAGGCCGACGACGAGAAGCTGTACGCCATGGAGCTCATCACCGACAGCGTCGTCGCCGGCCGCTGGCAGAACAGCAGGATCCCCCCCAACAAGGCCGAGATGAGCTCAACGAGCGTTCTCAAGGTCCGCATCGCTACCGGCAGCGCCAAGATCCGCTCCGGTCCCCCGGGGGACGAGAAGCACGACATGGAGGACCCGGCGGTCGTCGGCAACGTCTGGACGGGCGTCGTGCCGGTGCACATGTCGCTAGGGGCTCCCATCGCCGGGCCGTACAATGCCGTGGACAAGGTGCCTGCCTACCTGGAGGAGTACATCAAGAGCATGAACGAAGTCGGAGTGGATCATTCGGTCAAAGCGGCAGAGGCCTCTGCCAAGCCGGGAAAGAAACCCGTTGACGATTGAGTAGAGGCAAGCATGACAGGGCACAGCAGACCGCCAAGGACGCAAGATGGTAGGCAAGGGAAAGCAAGGGAAAGCAAGTAATGTGTTTGTGCTTCTAACCATCGATAATACGACAGCCACGGGTGGTGGGTGATCGCTCAGAAACAGCATTGCGCAGCAACCAGCAAATTATAAAATGGGAGTCTCGTGCTGTCAGCCTTGAGCCCATCACCACAGTTCCCAGATCTTGGGGTCCAGCACCGTACGCATGACCTCCCAATGACCCAGTGCGCTCTTCTGGTGCCACTGCGCCAGCTTAACCGTGTCGTTGTTCCTGAGGATGCCGTCCTCAGCGCCGAGTTTGAAGTTGGCGTCCAACACCTCGTGCTGCGGCATCATATACGCTCGCCGAGACCTGCTGCCAAGATAGTCGCTCTCTGTGGGCCTCCTGAACGTGATGTCACCTGAAGTCTTCTTGCAAAAGATGACCATGTTGGTGAAATCTTTCTTGTCTTTTGCCAAAGTCTCTTCGTCGGGAGCGGCCGACTCGCGGAAGATGCGACATGAAGGGAACACCTCCCTGATGGTGTTAACGATGATCCTTGGAGCTGGGTGAACAAAATCGCCGGCGTAGTTCTCAGATTGGTCAGCATGTGCTTTCGGGGGGGCCAGACAGCGGGTTTCATCACTCACAATGGCGATCACGCCGTCGGGTTTCAGTAAGGAGCTCAGTCCCTGGAGGAACTCCAGAGTGAAAAGAGGGATGGGCTCGGCGCCGCCGGTGAAGACATCGTGAACAATGTAGTCGTACTGAGCTTCCGCATCGTTGACAAGAGAAGCTGTGTAGCTGACGGCATCGTCGATAACCGCTGTATGGTTCTTGGGCAGTTGAAAATACTTGGAAGCGAATTCGTGGACCACTGGGTCAATCTCCACGACAGTCGTATCAATGCCATGCGCGACGAGAGCCGCTGGCGTCGTTCCAATACCCAGGCCACTGTTATTCATTAGCGTGGACTCATCAGCGTGGACTATGACTTGCGGCCAAGAGAGACCTACATGACGAGAGCTTTGGCCTCATTGTCAGGAATAGGGGCTGTGACCTCGACAAGGCGGGTAGCCTCGAGCATGACAAAAACGCCATAGATGGGCTCAGCCACACGAGGATCTGTAGGCCTGACCTTCATCCATTCACCTCCAAGGAGCGAGTGATCGCAGCGCATGACGCGGAACCCCTTGTCAAGGCTCTCGATGACGGAAATGTAGCCAGTCAGTGACTCCTTGCGGTCCAGCAAGATCCAATTGTCGGCCTGAAGCGTATAGTTGAGGCCCACAGTGGCAGCAGGGGACATGACATGGCAGTTGTGCATGGCTGTGTGGTACAGCGCTGGCAGGGACACCACGATCAGGTTCGAGGGCGCGAACAAGGCATAGGCAGCGCCCAGCAGAAGCTCCAGCCCGATTCGCGTCGTGAAAAAGGCCTGCCCAATGAATGCCTGAATCACACCGTCCGTGAGGTTCTCAAAAAGCTTGAGGATGAGCCACGATGCGATGCCTGGCCCGGCCTCAGCGAAGAATTGGGGCAGGAAAGAGAGATCAGCATCCTCCAACATTGTGGCGACGGTGGCGGCGGATATGGCGACCAGGGGAAACAAAGTGAGCAACTCAGTTACAAGAGGCCCATAGTGTGCTGTGAAGGTGTTGCTCCAGCCGAAAAGGAAGAATTGGATCGTAGGAATCCACATGGCAATGACGGGCAGGAGATGGGCGGGTTTGATGGGCAGTGCGCGGTTGAGCCAGATGTTTCCAGACCATCCGGCAAACGCTGCGCCCATGATGACCTTGGAATGCCATACCGACGATGGGATCGATCCATAAACTGGCGAAAGAGTCAGGTAAGACACGTTGGAGTAGGTAGCCACAAGGATGAGCAGAGTGGTCGTTTTGAAATAGAGGGCGAGCTGCTTGAGGATCCAGGACTCTCCCGAGTCCCTCTGGGCTTTCGAGGCTAGATTCTTGAGCTCATTCTCGAATTGCTCGGGGCTCGCAGGCTGAGGCGTGAGATCGTCAACCTTTCCGGTCTTTCGTTTGGAGGCCATGTCGAACGTGGTGCTGTCGATGAGGCGAGGTGACGTTGGAGGGGAAGGTACGGTTCCGTCAGGCTCCGGGTCTACAAGAAGAGAACGCACCGACCGACGCGCTGAGGAAACGACAACCAGAAATACAAAAGAAGAAGTTAGACCTTCCAACAGCCGGCTGCTGAAGTTCAAAGAGAAAAAATGTGATGGCAAAGCCAAGAAACTACTTCGTCAAGTCAAGTCCCAGATGCGGTACGGTGGATGAGCGTCGTTTGAGAACGGGGACACGTGCTCACTCGCTGATCACTGGTGGTTCTCAACGCAGCACCAACACCAGGTCCGTGCCCCGATCTGGCGAAGGAACCCTGGTTTGAGCACTTGGGCCCCACTCTCTCCTGGCCACTCTGGTCCGAGATCACGACAGGAAATGAAAGGCTTCTCTTGGCGAATCAATTTTTTAATATTTGCATTGCGAACAGCCGCGGGGATAGAAAGTGAGCTCACGCTCAGTCTATACAAGATGCCATCGTTGCCTTGCGGAATGGCTTCCCTCTCCCAGCCAAACCCCCCCTCCCCTTCTCCCATAAACCTCAACCCCCCCAGTGCTTACACCAGACGAGAAGAGTCCGTAAAGGTTTTTTCTTCCCAACCGGCAGGGATGGCCACATGGTGAGCCATACAGGATGCCATCGTTGCCCTGCGGACTGACTCTTTGTCAGACCCCCACCACGGCCAGCACTCTGGCCGACGCGATGTGATATGGTCGGATAGCCGTCGAGACGGGCTATGCAGGATGCCATCGTTGCCCTGCGGACTGGTCATTCTTCATCGACCAGACCCCTTGCGATACTCCTCCTTGCAGCCACGGGCAGACAGGTCTTGCTACCCGGTACACACAAAGGATGACTGGAACATCTCAGCCATACAGGATGCCATCGTTGCCCTGCGGACAAGCGTCTCCCGCTTGACCCCTTGAGCAGAACATGTTCCGCTCAGATCTTGACGCCCTCGATGATGGGCCTGGCCTCCTCGCTCCTCCACCAGCTGACGCCCTCCGTGCCGGGATACGTGTACTGGTCCATGCTCTCGGGCTTCATCTCGACGCTGTAGCCGGCCTCGGTGGGCGTCTGGTAGTAGCCGTCCTTGATGACCGAGGGGTGGAGGAAGTGCTCGTGAAGGTGGTCGACGTACTCGAGCACAGAGAGCTTGCCGCTGACGACGACGTAGTCGATGGTGCTGAGGTGCTGGGTGTACTCGGGCAGGCCAACACCGCCGGAGTGGGGCACGATGGGCACGTTGAACTTCTTGGCCATCAGAAGGACGGCGAGGACTTCGTTGACGCCGCCCATGCGGCAAGCGTCGATCTGGCAGACGTCAATGGCACCAGCCATGAGGAGCTGCTTGAAGACGACACGGTTCTGGCACATCTCGCCCGTGGCGACACCAATGTTGTAGGGCTTGAGGGCCTCGCGGACGGCCTTGTGGCCGAGAATGTCGTCGGGGGAGGTGGGCTCCTCGATGAACCAGGGCTTGAACTCCTTGAGCTCCTTCATGTAGGCAATGGCCTCGGGGACCGACCAGACCTGGTTGGCGTCGACCATGAGAATGTTGCCCTTGTCGTACCCAATGACGTCGCGCGCAATGGTCAGCCTCTTCTTGTCCTGCTCAACGTTGCTGCCGACCTTGAGCTTGAAGTGCCTGTAACCCTTGCTCAGGGTCTCTTGCAGCAAGCCCTTCATCTTGTCCTCTCCGTAGCCGAGCCAGCCGGCGCTGGTGGTGTAGGCGGGGACGGCGCGGTTGTTCTCGGCATCCTTGATGCGCTGGGCCTTGCCGCCCTCTTGCTCCTTGAGCAGGGCGATGGCCTCCTCGGGCGTGATGGCGTCGGTGATGTAGCGGAAGTCGATGCACTGGACAAACTCCTCCGGGGTCATGTCGGCGACGATGCGCCAGACAGGCTTGCCGAGGACCTTGGCCCAGAGATCCCAAATGGCGTTGACAACGGAGCCAAGAGCCAGGTGAATGACACCCTTCTCAGGGCCGATCCATCGGAGCTGGCTGTCGTTGACCAGGTACCTCCATGTCTCGCCCCAGTTGGCGACCAGAGATGAAAGAGTCCTGCCCTTGATGCGGTCACCGAGGTAGTCAATGGCTGTGCAGACGATGTCGTTGCCGCGACCAATTGTAAAGGTCTGTTGAGGAAGATTGTCAATCAGGGAATCCGAAGCGATGCGGGACAGACAATAAGAATGCCGAGATGAAGGGGGCACTCACCATGCCGTGGCCGCTATACTCGGAGTCAGTCTCGAGGACACAGTAGGCGGCCGAGTAGTCGCCGGCAGCGTTCATGGCGTCGGAACCGGTCTTGTCGAGCGAGGTAGGGAACCTCACATCGCGGGTGCTCCACCCGGTGATGGTGATTTCTTGGACCATATTGACAGCCGTGTGGTGGGGGAGAGGGAAAGGAGAGGGCGTGAAGGAGGTGGGTGAGATAGACAAACAAAGGTGACAATGGCCCAAAGTGAGGCGTGGGCGAGTGAAGTTATATACCTTGCGTGCCTACTTTTTTATTCTCGTTCTGCTCGCTCCTTGCAGACTCACCCCGCGTCTACATGTAGAGATCGGTTCGTCAAGGTGCTTTACCCCGAGCCAGGACGCGCCATGCGGAACGGCAGGGATCATCATGGGGCCACGGCTACGTGACGGCACCTTGGGGCGTGCCAATTGATGCTGCATGGAATAGAGGGGGAGGGGTAACTAGGAGGGGTCGAAGGTCGAAGTGGGGATTAGTGGGCAGGACGGCTTTGGCGACCTCGAGAGAGTGGTGAGAGAGACGCTTGTCCGTGCCGGGTCCGGCTACTACCATCGGGAAAAGGTTCTGATTGATGGAGAAATTATCCGTCGGCTGAGGTGGTGAGATGGACAGGGCGTTCGGGGCGCTAGGGGGATGCGAGACGCGACGGATACAGTTGAGTGGGAAGGACAAATTATCGCATTGCGCTACCCAAGTCAGGGTCTAGCACTTCAGCCCGATGGCCTGGAACCCACGACGCGCGGAGTCGATGCCGCTCGTACACGCCATGTTGATTTGTCTCCTCCCGACCGTCTTCCCATGCCGACGCCTTTTTTTCTGGTCGTCTGATCAAGGTGCCTGACAGGACAAGTCGCTGTCACAACAGGCTCGAAGTCGGAAGGCCGAAACAAGGGTCAGTCGGGAACATCTTTGGGACGTAATGAACGGATGAGCCATTTGTATTGCTTCCTCATCACTTCGACACCTGTCTCGACCAGCGGCATTCTATATGCATGTACTTCGACATTGTATTGAATTCTCAACATAGGTAAAAATGGGCAAGAAAGACATTGAATCACGAGATACTGTAATGCAGCCAAGGGCCAAGAGTTACTGGCGGAAAAGATTAACGGCGACAAGTAGATTGACCTGTTGCCGGTGTGCCAGTCGGAGAAATGTGCCGAGGAGCATGCATCGACCCTAGCTGTGTCCAACAGGCAAGGAGCTTTCTGAAGGACAATGACTAGAAAGCGTCACGGGGAAGGAGCATTCTTCTAGAAGCCATATCAGAGCTGTGGTTACCAACAATCCATAGGGTCGGCTGTGAAGGTGAGCGTCGTTGCTGAGGTGCTGTGTGGAAAGTTGATAGTGGAGAACCGCCAGCCAGGGGAGGCAATGCGCCGGAACAGGTACCGATGGCTGGTAGCCGTATTGGGTCCTGAATATCTTCGACCTGGCCCAATCGACATGACTATAAGCCCTCTGGGGAGGACAAGGCTATCATTACTAGGCATCTCCTGAGGGACGGTGACTGATACCCAGATGTGCCAAGCAACACCAGGCTCGCAATTGACAGTGCTGTTTGGTTTGAGCCACGTGACGAGGTTGGAAACAATGACGTGGGCCTCAAGCCCCCTGGCGTCAGCTTGACAGGCTGCGTGGCTTGAAGGTTGCAGTCTGCAGGCCAAAACCTGGTCCAGATGAACCCCGTCAACTTTCATCCACCACCATCATTCGTTGGTCATTCCATAATTATGCACGCCCGCCCTGATTGCTTCGCCCTCCCAGGGAAGCTGGCTTTGCGAGCCTCACCTTTTTCATTTCGAACGAGGCGCGCAAGTGTGCCGGCTCCCGGTAACTACCTATTGCCCTCAACTGTACAGACCCATCCACAGTTGAGTGGATGAAGGAGGAAGCATTATACCCCGCCGCATGCACAGCCACATATGTAGAGCTGGCTTTGCGAAGTGGTGAGGTGAGCCGAGTTGGCTGACACCAGGGCCTTGCAGGGCGAATCCTGTTTTCATCACCCCTGGACCCAAGACCCTTCCCCAGACTGTAGTACACGTCGACGAACGTCATAGGTCGTCGTTTGCTTCACATGTCGCCAGCTCTCGTTTATCGTTTATAATGCCAAAACCTCCACAATGGCGCAAAGACCATTGCTCTGCTGTCGTACACACCCCATGTCACAATGTCAGCAGCTCAGGTATCCCCGCGTACCAGCTCGTCCGCCCAACGATCATCAATGGATCGCACACGCATACCTACAGACCGCTCAGCTGCACCATCAGCCTCGCCCGGTCTCCAGCAGGCCAAGCCCGAGAAAATGAGAAAGAGGCTCCAAAAGAACCCTTCCCGCCGGTCAGCCTCCAGCAACCTGTCGTTAAGTTTCAAGGCTGGTGCCAATCCTGTGGTACAGCAGACAACACAACCCATCGCTTCGTCTCCCCGCGTGCCACCAGATCTGAGTGATGCCAAATGGCAAGAGTACCTACGGCGGAGCGGCATGTTGGCGATGGACTCATCGTCACCATTGCCAGGACTCAGCCCTCTTCAGGAACGAGCCGACGCAAACAACGTCGAGCAGACACCGACGATCATACCGGAATTCAAACATCTCGCTATTAATAACACACCTCCTCGGCCGCTCCTCACTAGTCTTGGTACCAATTCTCCGACCTCTTCAACTTCGACGGCTTCCAGCGTCAAACGTCGGGCAAAGACCCCGGTCACGTCCATCGGCCAGCTGGAAGCAGGCTCATTCGGCAGAAACTCCACCGATGCCAGCAAAGTCACGAGCGTTGACCGCATTGCGGCCCAGTACCAGGCTCTCCTCGAGCCCAGTGATACGGATTCCATATACACGGACTGTTACTCGGACCCTCCGCCACGCTCCGAACGACGACTGACATCGTCGGGAACGAGGCGGCAAGATAGCTCGGAGGAAGTCCCACCACATCATGTCATTGCCGTCCCACCACCGCGGCGTGGAAATACACAGGCCCATTCGCCCACCTCGGACGACGGCACTCTGGTCGGCTTTGACGAGGAGGCGATCTACTTTAAGCCCTTGTCATTCTCGCCAGAACCGCCTTCCGTACTGCACCATCGAGTGTCGACAATGTTGCGACGATCCGTGCCGCAAGGAAACTTCGGGCTTCAGCTTTGTGTCGACCTCTTGACACGCGAGCTGGCGACAGCCATGCTTGATCGTCCTGGAGTCAGCCCCGACGCACCTGCGCTGCAAATCCTCGTCATGATTGAGGCGTATGAGAGGTTGCGCAACCAGGTGCTCGAGATGGGCTTACAACGTGACGAGCCCCAGGGTGTCGAAACCATGTTCGACACATGGCTCGGCGCATTGTATTCCCTTCATGATTCCCTATCTGGGGAGTCTTGGTCCCGAAGCGATACTTCGTCTTTGCCTTAACCGAAGATTGGTGATGGAGCTTAGAGCTTGAGAATTCTGAATCTGTAATATATGACGTTGGTAGACTACGCCTTTAATGATATTTTAATCAACCCTTGGATGTCCAAACAGAAATGGCCGTTTTGGTGATTGCGAAATGCCTTATTGATGTGATTGAGTGATAGCACACAACACCAGGCTTGATAAATTATTAGGAGAGCAAAATCGGATTAATGAGCTCATCCATAATAATCAAATATCGTCGGCGCGATGGTTTTCAAAAGATGATGGTACATGGCGGCTCGAATCACCAATGCACGGACCAGCCGATTGTGAGCGTGACGGAGCTACATGGTTGGAGACGCAGTCAAGCTATGACGCACGTGGTCGAACAAGCGATTCACCAACGTGACGGTCGCATGTCTGTCCATCCTAAGGCTGACCTCTGAAGCACAGCTTCATGCCGACAGCCGAGGGTTGACTGCGTTTCCGTCTCGAAGCAATGCCTGCAGACGACGACTTTGGGGCGGACGCCGACTTCCTGGCGGCGCTCGCAGCGTCCGACTCGAGCAGTTCACGGCCGCACGCGCCGCCGCCGCCACCGAAACCACAGGCAGCACGACAACAAGGCGCACCCAGGATCCAGCAACCGACACCTCAGAGACTCGACAAAGCACCGCCGGCGAGTGCGTCTGCCTCTGGCGGCAAAGTGGTGCAGCCGACGCCACAAGCGCTGCCAAAGCGGTCTTCTGGTTCTGCGATCCAGGTGTCGCCCCGCCAGAGGGGAAACCCGGTCCTCGCGTCTCTGCGGTCGCTCCCGTGGGAATACAGCGATATTCCAGCCGACTTTGTGCTCGGCTTGACCACCTGTGCGCTCTTCCTGAGGTACGGACACTGACCAACCTCCCACCACCTACTGCCGTCCTACGTGCTGACAAGTCTGTGCTGCAGCCTGAAATACCACCGCCTGCACCCCGAATACATTTATCAGCGGATACGAAACCTGCAAGGGAAATACAACCTGCGCATCATCCTTGCCATGGTCGATATCCCAAACCACGAAGACTCGCTGCGCGAACTATCCAAGACTTCGCTGGTCAGCAACGTGACCGTCATACTGTGCTGGTCCGCTGCCGAGGCCGCCCGCTATCTCGAGCTGTACAAGTCATACGAGCACGCCAACTTCAGCGCCATTCGCGGCCAGCAGTCCTCGAGCTACGCGGAGAAGCTCGTCGACTTTGTGACTGTGCCCAGGAGCGTGAACAAGGCGGATGCCATTGCGCTCGTGAGCACGTTTGGCAGTCTGAAAGACGCCGTCAACGCCGACGCCGAGCAGATTGGCGTCATTGCTGGATGGGGAACCATCAAGGTGAACAAGTGGATCGCTGCGGTTGACGAACCGTTCAGGGCCAAGAAGGCTGCCAAGCGCAAGCTCGTCCATGACGAGAGCACGGAGGACGGGACGCCATCGCGGCTCGACCAGGCTCGTCCCATCGGGCGTGTCCCGCTGCGCGAGATGTCTTCGATGGGTGGCGCATCCGCAGACACCCCGCCCGTCGAGGCGGTTCCTAGCGGCGAAGCATCCGCAAGGGAAAAATCAGGGGCCCAGCGGCCTGCTGCCGCGGCCGACGAAGACGACGAGGATGCAATGATCGCCGCTGCCATTGAGGAATCAAAAATCACAGCGAGAGCAGAGGCTTCACAGAGAAAAGAGTCTGCGGCCAGCAGCCGTGTGCCAGAGGAGCTCAATGATGGCATAGCAGCGGCGCTGGCAAGGTTACGTGACGGTGGGTGAAGCGACTTGTCAAGAGGGACAAGACAGATATACAGGTGGCTCGTGGCCTACTGGCCATGGACCGAGATGCCTATGAATGCAACGTAACGAGTACAATGTAATAGAAAGAAAACCTGATAGGGTTTTGCTGATGCAGAATAGAGTGACAACTTCTCAATAGCACTTCTGAGAATTCACGTCAAGAGACGCTGAGCATGATGTTCTGGGTGGCAAAACTAGGCTACCAAAGAGGGCTTCTTCGCAATGTTTCACGTGGTGTATGGTGTTGCAGAATAAGTAGTATTAAACGGTGTGATATGGGTTTTGTGCCTCCCCTGCAGACACGATGAGCCGGATCCAGCGCTGGCGAAGAGATGAGTTTTGTCTATGTATGCGTGTGTGAGAGATCAAGTGATGGAAGTCCTAGGCGCCGCCATCGCGCTTGGCGTACTCTTCTTCCATGGCCTCCTCATAAAGTCGGTCAGCCTCTTTTTCGGCGTCCGTCTTGGGACGCGACGTTCCTGCGCCTGTATTCACTCCAGCTCCTGAAGCGATGGGAGTTGTGTGCCCTTCGGTTGTCGTGGCTCCGCAGCCGTTACCAGTGGTGCCTGACTCAGTGGCTTTGGCCGGGGTGTTGTCGAGTGGGAGTCCCATGATGAAGGATATGTATAGGCGGATGACAAAGGTTATTTTAGGGTCCTTTCTCGATGATGTGTCGACTTTATTTTTGATATCATGAAACAGAATTGAAGGCTCGGGTTTGGTCGACCCCTTTTGTATCACGCAAATGGCCTGGATGGTAATATGTAGAAGGCCGTGGATCTCTGCCTGGGTGGCGACCTTGTTGGAGGCCTACAGGTACAGACAGACCTCAGGCTCGCAAGAGGGGCGAACGGAATGGAGTCAGTCCCCTTGTCAGACCCCTAGATTGCTGCAGTGTCACTGACTAGCGGGGCAAGAGGACCCAAAGTTGGCCGTTTCCCTTTTCGACGGCCATTGACCAATCACAGCTCGTATAATGCTGATTACCGCCGTTGACCTATCCCTCAACACCGACATCCACCTCTACAGTGTTTTTTGTAAAGCAAGGGAAGTAAGGTCAATAAACTTGAAGACGGGTCCTGCAGAATATCTTTTCGATTCTTCCATTGACTCTATAAAGCTTCTGGTAACCTTCTCCCTTCTGGTTCCGGTACAATCCCACTTGATTATCACGAAGAAGACGACAGCACACGGAAACGTCGCTCACCCTCTACCTACCTTCCCTTTCTAGTCATTCTAGCTCTCTGTCACACACACACACACACACATACACATTCACACACCATGTCGATCGTGGCAGTCAAGAATCTCATATTCGGCCGCTCGAAGCGCCGTGGCTCTAGCAGCGCCGCGTCGGACGACACAGTCGTTGACAACACCGACCCTGAGCGTCAACCTCTGCTCACTACCACCAAATCCAAGACATCCTCCATTGAGCAGCAGGAGCCAACACGGCCATTCCGCCTCGATGCTCGCATCATCTCAGATGCCACCATTGGCCTCTCAGATGGACTCACAGTCCCCTTCGCCCTGACGGCAGGCCTCTCCGCCCTCGGCCAGACCAAGGTCGTCGTCTACGGCGGCCTCGCCGAGCTCATCGCCGGCGCCATCTCCATGGGCCTTGGCGGCTACCTCGGAGCCAAGAGCGAAGCGTGAGTTCAAGTTCCTCTCTGTCCTCTCACATGCCCCCTCCTTCCTTTCATTCCCCCCCAAACAAAGCACAAGAACTCCAACTAACACGCACCCAACAGCGCCTCGTACAGGGAAACCAGGGCCGAGTGCGTCCGCAGCATCGAGCAAGACGGCGACCACGTCCGCGCCGCCGTGCTCGAAGTCTTTGAGCCCTACGAGCTGCCCGCCCAGACCCTCGACGACCTCTCAGCCCACCTCGCCCGCTCGCCGCGCCAGGTCGACTTCCTCATGCAGTTCCAGCACTGCGAGCAGGAGCCCGCCTCGAACCGCGCCGCCGTCTCCGCCCTGACCATTGCCGCCGGCTATCTCTTTGGCGGCCTCATCCCGCTGTTCCCGTACTTCTTCGTCGGCGAGGGCCAGGTCGACCTCGCGCTGTGGATCTCCGTCGCCGTCATGGTCGTTGCGCTGTTTGCGTTTGGATACGTTAAGACGTGTGCCGTCAGTGGATGGCACGGCGGCCGGTGCGTGTGGGAGGCCGTCAAGGGTGGTCTCGAGATGGTCGTCGTGGGCGGAGCCGCGGCTGGAGCGGCCATGGGACTGGTGAAGTTATTCGACGGCATGGCAAATGGAGGCACTACTGTTGTCATGTAGTTCTGTCTGGTTACGTGCGTGTGGGATTGTTGACGGGCTGGCGTTCATAGGCGTAAGGAGACATGCGGTCGGCACCGCAGTGGAGGTCATCAGGTGTCATGATCTCACCTCACCTCGGGTTGGAGTACGGCGTACAGGATACTGAAGGAAAATTGGCCCCCCTCGGATCAGGGCGGACGCCACCCTTTGTATTTATCAAAGGAATTTTGCACAAGACACAACTCTTCCAAGTCAAACAATGATTGAAGTAAATACTCGGTGATGTTTCCTGGAGCCTTTTCCCATTCGCTGTGGGTAATTTATTAGTACAGTTGTGGGAGCAGATTCCCTCTTTACAAAAACGCCCCTGCTCCTACACACAATCCGCATATTTTGGGCGCGCCAGGCAAGTGCGCAGCCTGACGGGATGCCGTTCAGAACACGACAAGATCAGAACTCCCGGCTCTCTCCAATATCACACACGTCGAACACACCCTTAGCGGGAAGACCCTGCCACTCCATAGCCTTCTGCAGCAACTTGGGCGGTTCCAGGACCTCCTCCATGGTCAGGGCCCAGGTGCCCCAGTGGATGCCCATGGCGCGCTGGCAACGTGTGTCGCGGAAGATCTCAACAGAGTCGTAGGGATTCGCGTGCATGCTCGAGAAGGCGACGCGCGGGTAGTACGCGCCAATGGGGATCAGGCCGAGGTCAAAGGGACCTCGGTGCTGACCGATCTGTTTGAACTGAGGGCAGGTGGGCAGAGCCTTGAATTCGGGGCTGTCGAGGTCCATGCCGTCGCGGGGCACCATGCGGTAGCCCGTGTCGCCGCCGAACCATACAGACCGACCGCCAGTCTTGACGGCCCAAGAGCACCAGAGGGTCGTGTCCGTGTCCCAGAGGGTGCGAGCCGAGGTGTGCTGGCAGGGGAGGCAGGAAATGGTGGCGCTGATGGTCTCGGGGCTGTCCGTCTTGTGGTTGGTCTTGTCAATGGTCAGGGTCAGGTCAGCACTGTCCCACCAGTCGAGCTCGGTGACGTTCTTGAGACCAGCTGACTTGAACCAGGATTCCAAGCCGAGGCCGACAAAGAAGTGAGCTTTGGGGTTGTGCTTCTGCAGCTCAAGAACCGACGTGTGCGACAGGTGGTCGTAGTGGCTGTGGCTGATGACAACAGCATCGACGAAGGGGATATCGCTGAGCTCGCAAGGCTTTGGGGTAAAGCGTTTGGGGCCGAGGAAAGAGAAGGGCGAGCATCGATCCTCAAAAACGGGATCAAAAAGGACGCGCAGGCCGGATGGAAACTCGACGTAGTAACAGGCATGGCCTAGCCATGTCGCGCGCAGCTTGTCTGAAGCGTGCCGTGTTGGCAAGAATTTGGGTGGCACGACATTCACAGTGGGCGGAGACGTGTCCGGGGTTTTGAGGTCGCCCTTGAGTGTTGGCCTGCGGAGAGGGGCGATGAGCAGGCTTATTGATGAACAGTGGTGGGTAGGGTCATGCTCACCAGACGATGTCTCTGACAGGGTTCAATTTTTGATATGAAGGGTGGGGGTTTTTAAAGTGCACAATGGATCCGTTCTTCGTGACATGGTGAGGCTTGGCGCGAGCATCTTCGGGTGTGTCGGTGGACTCGGGCAGCTTTGTGATGGAGGATGTGTAGGAGGCCACGGCCAGAGCGACGGCAGCCATGGGTGCAGAGGAACGGATCAGGGCGTGGGACGTGGATGGAGCAGCTTGGGGTTTGAATGAGCGGAAGAGGCTTCGCAGCTTGCCGATTGACATGATGCAATGAGAAGGAGGCGATGGGACTGTGCAAAGCCCGAAGGGGACCGGAACAAGTTATAGTGGTCAGCTATGCACCTTCTCTCGTGATGAAGAGGTAGGCAGGCAGGCAGGCAACAGGTAGATAGATCCACTACGCAATCAATGGTTACGATGAGACTCTGACATGCCATGTGGACAGGGGTAGCTTCATGATGGGCCTGTGCCCAAGGTACATTCAAAGGCCAGTCGCACTCGCATCCGGCGGCAGCAGAATGATCGAAAGCCGCCGTACCGCCGTGGACTTAATCGGACTCGGACTTAGGTAGTGACCCACCAGCCTGCCCTCAGGAGCTCGTCTGTTGAGGTAAGGCCTGGGCCTGGGCCTGAGCCTGAGCCTGAGCCTGGGAGCCTTACCTCTATTGTGCCTACGGCGTGTAATACAGTACAAGTACATGGTTAGTCCCCAAATAAGGTACATGTATGGAACCTAAGGTACATGTATGGAAGGTACGGGACCAAATACCCAGCGCCCGGAGTCTACGGCCTTCGGGCCCCACCTGCCCACCATCCCTAACCCTCCGACAGCCCCTGGCGCATACCATTCAACAAAGCAGCGTTATGCTCGCTCCCCCCCCCCCCCCCCCTGCTGCAGGCTGACATATCAATGCCACTGGCAAGCTGATGGCATGCATCAAGAGAAGAGAAATGCCACGACAGCCCTGGACTCATCCCCCAGATCCGCCGAAAGTCTCTTGTACCGCTCTCCTTGCTTCCAGAGTGGCAAGTGATGGCTTCTCTCCCACTCCTGTTCCTCCATCGCCCTGAGATATCTTCTCTTGGCCTGATCGAGATTGACGATACCTTTGTAACGCATTGCAAACTCGAGGCGCTGATCCATCTGTGTCTTTTCAGGATCTGTACCGTCAGAGGACGCACTCTGGGAGTCATGTCCTTCCCGATCAGTTGAATCCGTCTCGATGGAAGCGGCCTCGGCTCCCTCCGTGCCGTCCAAAGTGTGCTTGACGTGCGGCCGCAAGATATGCGGTACCCTCGCTAAACCCTCCAGTCGTCTCACGTCACTCTGGATGCTCCAATATCTCGGCCGTCTGAAAGTAAGTCCCTGATGGAGACAGTCAAGCTCGTCCTCGCAGGACCTTGCGATGTTGCCCTGCAGACTCCCCCGGACAGCATCCCCTTGTGCCGCTACGGCAAGGGCGTGACATCGGTCGAGGCATGTTTGTATGACATCTATTGCGTCGTGTGGGGCTCGCTTATCTGCCATCACACCCTGGATCTGCCATGATGCCGACTCGGAACAGCCGTTGCGCAAGCGAAGAATCTTCTGATCGATCATCCTCCATGTTCTTTCATTGCGCTGTTTGAACCACGACGGTATGCCTATCTCGCGCTCTCGCGGTACATCGTACTGGTTGTGAGACATCCTGGATCCTCTAGGTTTCTGTTCCTGGCTTCGTTCATCTCTGCTTATACTAAATCCACCAGCCTTCAGTGAGAGGGGACACTTGATGCCATGAGGGTGTATATATAATGCGTCGCGAGCCAATTCCGATACACACCTTGTCGCCAAAAGCTTCATCACGCAGAAAGCAAAATTGGTCAAGTCTGCGTAGCCACACGGTCAACACGGAGCTTAAAAAGTTCAAGGTTCATTCATCATTACAGGTCAGCTTAGACCAGCATCAAACACACGCTCAGGAAACCAAAACCTTACCGCACCAAAGTCCCTCAGGATGCCAAATGCCCAACCGAACCGCGGCACCCGAAATACAAAATCATCAACGAGGGGTCATCACCTCGCTCGAATCACATATCGAGTCCACGGGTATCTTCTCTCAGCTCGTCACTGCCCAGCTCCTTCTCCAATTCGTCGGCTACAAAGCCTTCGTAGTCATCCAGGTTCTTCTGCACGTGAATTTTGAACTTGATCACATCGTTCAGCATGCGGTCAATCTCCGTGTGGAGCTCCTCCCGCAGAGCGTTTGCTCGCAGCACGAGCTGTTCGTACCTGGACTGCTGTTAGCAAGGAATATTCCGTCTCACGCCATTCGCCGGTTTCCGGTTACTCACTCGATGCTCGTGTTCATCTCACGCTGTTCCATTAATTGAACCGATTCGGACAGGGAACCACGCATCTTGGCGAGTTCCTTCTCCATCTTCTCAATTTGGGCATCGGAAGCCATCTTTTGCGTCGTCGTGACCTGGTCTCCCTGTTAGTCCTCGTGGTCGCCCGTTCGGTGCGCTACTGCAGACGGTCGCTCACCTCCTTGGTCTTTTCGTATTCTTCCTCAGCTGCGCGCACGCGATGCTCTAGGGCCTCCACCTCATTCCGTTTGTCCTCGATGGCTTCCTTGATTCCGTCCAGCAAATCGTGGTCCTTCATCATCAAGTCCATCGCGACACTTCTTCGTTCCGAGATTTCCTTTCGCAGCGCGAGCAAGCTGTTCTTAACCTGACCGCGCAGGTCCAGGTTGAGAATGTGAGCCGGCTGGTAGCCCGTCGTGGGGTCTGCGAGCAGCCTGTCTGTCGAGCCGGAGCCGCTGGAACCCTTGAGTTGAGAGGAGCCAAAGTCGGGTCCGTCGTTGACGGTCACTTGAAGCTCAAAGTCTCTGCCCTTGGCGTTGACAGCCGTGGCTGGAATGAGGCCAATCTGGTAGGCGACCGTGTTGTAATTGTCGACCATGCGCTCCAGGTCGTCGAGCTTGTGGCTCGCCTCCATCTCGCGGTCTGCCAGCTTCTTCTTGACATCCTCCAGCCTCTGGCTTGCCAGTTCGATACCCTTCTGAAGGCGATCTTGCTCAGAGGTCATGCGGTCGATATCCTGCATGCTGATGCCCTGATCGTCCACAATCTTTTGCAGCCCGCGGCGCTCTTCCTCGGCCTCTTTGAGCTCCTCCATGAGCTTGTCGAGCTCTTCCTGCAAAACCTGGCCGCGGTTCTCATACTTGTCCGTTCTTTGTATTGCGAGTTCATTGTACTCTTCAAACTTGATCTTGTCCTCCTCCATGATTTTGAAGTGGTTGTCGAGCAGGGCAGGATCTGGCGTTGACTTTTCCAGGTCTTCAATCTCCCGCAACAGCCGGCTGTTTTCCGCCTCCAGCATCTCGAGCTCTGAGGAGTATTTGGAGTTGGCATGTTCAAACGCCTCGGCCATGAGCTCGACGTGCGGCGCCAGCACCCTGTCGGCCTCGTCGTCGCCCGCATCTTCGTCCATGGAAAGCCAATCCCTGTATGCCTTGCTCAGAAAGTCGAAGATGACATGGTCGCCGCTGACGTCGATACCGCTCTCTGTGCACGCGTCGTCGTAGCGATTGGCCGCGTAGCCGTCCAGCATCTGCGCGAGCTGCATCATCCAGTGCAGCACGCCGAGGAACGTGCTCCAGTTCTGGCCGCCGACGGCGGCAATCTGGCTCTTGGTGATGCTCCGCTCGTACGGGTACCGCAGCTGCTTGAGGATGGGGGGCACCTCCTGGTCGATGTTCTTCTGGAAGCGGTAGCTCGGGTCGATGCGGTGGTAGAGCCACTGAAACATGTAGTTGAAGTCCTTTTGCGTCGGTGACTTGATAATGTTCTGCGAAAGGGTGTGCTTCATCTGCATCTCAAAGTTGTTCTGCGCGAGGTAGTCGAGGAGTTCCTGCGCTATCTTGGCCTGGTAGGACCTGTCGCGGAGAGGACGAGGGTCGCGCGGCACGCCGGCGGGCTGCGGCGCTTGCTGGAAGAAGCTCTGATGGCTCATGGGCCCGTTGTCGAGGGGTG